ATAAAAGACACCTGGGAGCCAGAAATCTTTCTGATTGAGAAGGGGTCAAATACTTATTTCCCTCATTAAAATGCAAATCAATTTATAACATTTTTGACGTGCGTTTTTCTGGATTTTCTGTTGTTGTTATTCTGTCTCTCACTGTCCAAATAAACTTACCATTAAAATTATAGACTGATCATTTTTTTGTCAGTGGGCAAACGTACAAAATCAGCAGGGGATCAAATACTTTTTTTCCCTCACTGTATCAATTACCTTTCTGCGTTTCCGAAGCGATGTTATTAATCATTTATACCACAGGCAATAAACATCAACATGGTTATTTACAGCTCTTTGCCAATTCACAGCTGGACGATGTAGGCCTCCCCACGCCGTGTTAGTCATTGGGGTTTTATGCAAAATTTAACCACGCTGGTCCAGTTCTTATTCGCCACTGACATGAACCCAAAATCGAACCCGGGGCCACCTGGTGGGTGGCGCAGTACAATACATAAACTACGCCATCTTATTCATATTCTATGGGTCTTTCGGTAAAGCCACGTAGATAGAAAATAATAATAAAAATATCAATCATCAGGTGAGTCAAGATTTAACTACGCCATTGCCGCTCCACCCCTTCCCAATAGCGGAGCCAGGATTTTCAGGTAGGGGAGGGCAACCCGTCCAGCAATGAAAAATGAAAGAGGAGTTGTTAGTAAATAAGGACTTGTCCCTTGCTTTTTATTCGACGCGTGTGTGGCGATGGCGCAGCCATCGATCGAGGGTCGAATTCGAACCGCGTTGTGTGATTGGCATCGACTTTAGGAAAGTCGTTACTCTATACGCAACTGCGCACAATTCTGAGTTACTTATAACTGCTTTGCCGTTACTTATTGCCAATTATGGACTCGACTATTGTCCTATCATCTCATAGAGTCCCTGGCACGTAATACTATGCTACACAGTGGCAGTGGGGGTCGCAAAATGCCGATTTATTACGAATAGACTCCAATGATCCGATCGAAATTAGGGAATTTGATCGGATCATTGGGGGGGGGGGCACGTGGCACCCCCCCCCCCCCTACTGGCTCCGCCAGTGCCCCTTCCCACATTAAAAGAACCATTTCAGCCCTTGAAAGGGAACTGGACAACCATTTCACTGCAGGACCCTCCTAAAACGAATCTGGAGACTCAATAAGGCGTTAATGGGTAAACAAATAGCACGACTACAATCATACTGATAGACCGCATTCTCAATTGGCTACTCTCCATGGTCCTGAGCCATACACGTGGCATACTTATCTGAACAGTGCTGATCCCCTGCGGGAGTTAATTGTTAGACCATGGGTGTTCAAACTACGGCCCGCGGGCCAACTGCGGCCCGCCATCCATTTTTAATTGGCCCGTATCAAAGTCAAAAAATATAATGGACTATGGCCCACTGTATTGCACTTCTTAGTTTAAAAACTAGGTGGCGCTATTGTCTTGAACAAGGCAGCGTCTTCACAAAGCAAGCAATCGAAGAAAAAATTTGCTCAGGGTCACCAGAAATGCCGGAACCGAAGAGACGCAAGATTGCAAGCGAGTACAGAAAATTTCAGACTCGGTGGAAAAAAGAATATTTTTTCATAGAAACCAAGGGGAAGTGTGTTTGTTTGAGTCTAAAGGGGACAACAACATGTTTGAAGCTGTGTCAGATGCAATTGACCAGGCTGGACTTAAATGGGACAAGCTGTGTGGAATTACAACGGATGGGGCTCCAGCAATGACAGGCGAGCGCAAAGGCATGGCCTCTATGGTGAGTGCCAAGGTGCAGGAGAGCGGAGGCGAGGCTGTCAAAATGCACTGTATCATCCACCAAGAAGCCCTCTGTGCCAAGATAATCCAGCTTGGCGATGTGATGAACACAGTTGTGAAAACTGTCAACATAATTCGGGCACGAGGGCTTTACCACAGAGAATTTCAAGCGCTCCTCTCTGACGTCGATGCTGAATACGGGGACCTACTCTACCATTCTGAAGTGCGCTGGCCCAGTCGCGGCTCCGTGCTGCAGCGGTTTTATTCCCTGAGATCAAATATCGACAAGTTTGTGAAAGGAAAGGGCAGACCTCTCCATGAGATGAGTGACCCTTTATGGTTGGCAGAAACTGGCTTTTTTAGTTGGTCTCACTGATCATCTCAACACCCTGAACAAGAGACTACAAGGCAAAGAGCAGCTGGTACCATAGCTGTATGCGCACATGAAAGCATTCCGTGCGAAGCTCCGTCTCTTCGAGTCACAACTGTGCAACTTCAATGTAGCGCACTTCCCCACGCTGACCGAAATCAAATGCGCATTTCCAAATGCCAAGTTCTCTGCAAAAATGGGAGAATATGTGTCTGTGATCACATCTCTCATGACAGAATTCAGTCAGCGCTTCCAAGATTTTTATGCCATTGAGAAGGAAATCACACTGTTTGCGGCTCCGTTTTCAATGGATGCAGAAGAAGTGGAGGAGGATTGTCTGCAATTAGAACTGATCGAAAATCAGTGTGATGATTCTCTGAAGAATCAGCATTAGCTTCTCTCCCTACCTGACTTCTACCAGAGCTTGGAAAAGGCCAAGTTTCCTTTGATGAGACACCACGCAAAACGAATGATGAGTCTGTTCGGCTCAACATACGTCTGTGAGCAGAGATTCTCTCTGTTAACGCTGAACAAAAGCAGACTGAGAACCAGAACGACCGACAGCCATCTCCGTGACGTCCTTCGCATCTCAACCACCAAACTTTCTCCTGACCTGCCAGCTATCCTTCAGACCAAAGCGCAGCATCACTGCTCCCACTGAGCGCAACATTCTTCCCATTACAGGTGAGTTAAAAGTATACACACAGTTTTCATTTGTTAATAAGCCCAATTACTTAATAAATTCAGTCAATTAAAATTGATGACAATTTTTTAACAAACGTTAGTTGATGTGTTAACAAGCTCAATAATTTATTTGTGTAATTAGCTTGAAATATCCACATCCCCTATTTCTCTTCTTGTCTCTCCCGTCATACAGGACAATGAAAGGGGATCAGCACCCTAAGAACCAATCTGAGGCTGTCACTGAGAGAATGACCTGCAAACCTTTTTGTAAAAAATAAAATGAAAATCTACTAATGGAGAGTTATGATGGAGGCTTTTTTTTCTTCCAGCATGTTCAATTATCAAACGTAATTTACCTGCATTTGATTGATTTTGCCAATATTAGTGCATGAGAAGTGAGGCAGTATACCTCACGTCTAGTGAGTGGCCCAGTCCTTCGTATATTTTTCTGTATGTGGCCCTTGGGAAAAAAAAGTTTGGACACCTCTGTGTTAGACGATCGCTATGTCGCTTGCTATCTAAATAACACAATTTGCTTATTCGTGTACTACGTTATCATCATTAGCCGTGGTCAATCTCTAACGATCCAGCAAATGAATAATCCGTCTAGCACCCGACATGGCGATTACGAACGTGACATGGACAATATAAACTCCGATTTAAAGTTTCGATTTAAAGCTTTCGTGACTGCAAGGATTCAAGGATTCATCTTCTTTGGTTCTTTCGGTAAAGATGGATGAAGGCCGCTTATGTTGTGGCCGAAACGTCGTGAGAATTTTATTGTGTTATTTTATTTTATCAATTTATTATTTTATTCTCATTCTACGTCCGATTTAAAGCTTTCGTGACTGCAAGGATTCATCTTCTTTGGTTCTTAGGGTAAAGTCACGTAGAATGAGAATAAAATAATAAAATTAAACAATAAAATTCTCACGACGTTTCGGCCACAACACAAGTAGCCTTATTCAGGTGTCGGAACGACAGTTCTGTTCTTTCACCTGAAGAAGGCTACTTGTGTTGTTGCTGAAACGTCGTGAGAATTTTATTGTTTTATTTTATTATTTTATTCTCATTCTACGTGACTTTACCGAAAGAACCAAAGAAGATAAATATAAACTCCGTGAAGGGACACACAAGACGCAAGGCTTGAACCCAGGGACTGTAGTTAATGACTGACACGTCCATTATTAACTGATTCTATGTATCTATACATACATATGAACCCGCTCCTAACATTAAAATTGTAAAAATAAAAACATTTAGTGGGCATGGGCAAGACACGTCGCTCTGAGGGATGATTGCCGAGTGTCAATAATAATAATGAGGTGGCAGCCTAGGAACGGAAACGCATCTGAGATCGCGTCCACTCGGGGAGATGGAGCGATCAACCGAGCTTGTGTTGCAGCAGCTAGGTGGATTGATACGTCGCAAGATCTTGAAAGGTGACCACTGCTTGGGGCAGCCTTCATCCATCAGCTGCTGCTGATGATAATGATTGTATTTTAGATGTTTAATATAAAAAGGCTAGCTCAGTCCTCCGCCACCACTCACGATCCTGCCATGCAGTGATCCTCATGCCAGCGCCTCTACTACACGAGTTAATTTCATCACTCCATCTCCCAGCTCAAGGGTTCTTTCGGATGGATTACATCCCTGCTTCGAATCCGATGCATTTGAGACAGCAACAAAGACGTCAACTGACATAATCGAACCCCCACTCCCCCATCCATAGTCAGAATCAGAATATCGATTTATACCGGAGGAATCAGATGAGCTATAAAGCTCTTTTTCACACACGTCCAATCGTTTCACAGATGTCCAGCCGTACACCCGCCCCTCCCCCTCACCCCCCGCCCCTCCCCTCAGCCCCCCCGCCCCTCCCCTTAGCCCCCCGCCCCTCCCCTCAGCCCCCCCCTCTCCCCTTATCCCGCCCACATCCTTCTCTTGATCCCAAAGACCCCTCCCCCCGCATCCCCCCTCCCCTTTCCCCCCCCTCCCTTCATCCCCCCCGCCACCGCCCCCCTCCCCTTCAATCTCAGCGCCACGTCACTGCCACAGCACCCCCATTGGAAATCCCACATCACATAAGCAAGCGTGCACGCTTTATGCCAATAGCAGAGAGAGGTGCGGTCACGTGGGAACACTTTTTAACCAATGGCGCGTGTTTATCGCAGCGGGACCGCGTGTCCGAACTGCATATTCCAATGTCGCGTTGAACCCCAGACGAGGCCCGCTCTAGTCACAACGCCGCCTCCGCCGACTGTTGAACTTAATTAAAAACTAAATTGACGTTTACATTAAAAAAAATAAACTTCACAGTTATACAGCATGGGTGGAGCGCAGAGCGTGGACATTCCCGGCGGAGGAAGCGAGGGCTACCATGTATTGAGGGTAGGCCATCGTGCCTGTGTGTGTGTGTTTATCATTGATGCTTCACCGGGGCAGCCTCTCACAAGGATCGCACCGGAGATTCAAGTCACCAGTTTACGGAATTTGTTGTCACTTTGTAAATCTTGGCGTGAGCGTGTAATGCCTTAATTTGTGCCTGTTGAGAGGCAGATGGGGGGAGGGGGGGGGGTGTTACGCGAATTGTGGCCGAGTGGCTGAGGCGACTCAACAGTCGGGACACGAAGCCCTGGGATCTCTGGGTGTCTCATGAGGAGTGGGATCTCTGGGTGTCTCGTGAGGAGTGGGATCTCTGGGTGTCTCGTGAGGAGTGGGATCTCTGGGTGTCTCATGAGGAGTGGGATCTCTGGGTGTCTCGTGAGGAGTGGGATCTCTGGGTGTCTCGTGAGAAGTGGGATCTCTGGGTGTCTGGTGAGGAGTGGGATCTCTGGGTGTCTCATGAGGAGTGGGATCTCTGGGTGTCTCATGAGGAGTGGGATCTCTGGGTGTCTCGTGAGGAGTGGGATCTCAGGGTGTCTCGTGAGGAGTGGGATCTCTGGGTGTCTCATGAGGAGTGGGATCTCTGGGTGTCTCATGAGGAGTGGGATCTCTGGGTGTCTCGTGAGGAGTGGGATCTCTGGGTGTCTCATGAGGAGTGGGATCTCTGGGTGTCTCATGAGGAGTGGGATCTCTGGGTGTCTCGTGAGGAGTGGGATCTCTGGGTGTCTCATGAGGAGTGGGATCTCTGGGTGTCTCGTGAGGAGTGGGATCTCTGGGTGTCTCGTGAGAAGTGGGATCTCTGGGTGTCTGGTGAGGAGTGGGATCTCTGGGTGTCTCGTGAGGAGTGGGATCTCTGGGTGTCTCATGAGGAGTGGGATCTCTGGGTGTCTTATGAGGGGGGGGGGGGGTGCTCGTAATGGCCATGCTACGTTCAGAATGTCCTCGTCAGACATTGGCGTTCTGGCTTCAAGCCTTGGGTCCGCAGGCTGTCTCTCAGAGGGGTATATAATGGACATTTCCAGGCGCATAATGGCCACGTCAGACATTGGAGGCCCTTGGGTTCAAACACTGCGACTGGGTGGCCAAGGTGTTCTATAGTGGCCTTGTCAGGTTCATAGTGGCTGTATTCATATTCGCCGAGGACCTGAATTCAAACTTTGGTTCTGGGTATCATAATGGCTATGCCACGTTTATAACGGCCTTGTTAGGGAACCTATGGTCCTGAGTTTGAAACATGAGTTGGTGTCGCTTCAAAGGGCTCATATTCGTAAGTTCTAAACCCATAAAAAGGGCCGATTCAGAGGTTCATTCCTCTGGGGGTTTGTAAAATGAGTCACTTTGTGGGAAGTCAACCGTAATTGTTCCGTCCATGTTGCATGGGTTACCACCTTTTCATGACTGTAAACAAAAGAGCCTCAATCTGCAGTCATTCAGAAGAAACTCACGTTTTAAACCAATGCATTTTGAGTTTTATCCATAATATTAATCACATTAAACGATCAATCTTACCATTTGGTCTGACTGTCTTTACAGTTATGAAAGCAAATGTAACATTTAAAATGTTTCATCTGAATAAAAAAAATAGCCATGGCAGTTACGCTCCCTGTCATTGTTAAAATTACATCGATGCCATTAAACAGGTTCCAGTGTGGTCACCCCTGTTTGAGATTTCGCATATCCTGTGTTCTTGTGTCCCCACCGCAGGTGCAGGAGGGCTCGCCAGGCCACCAGGCAGGACTCGAACCGTTCTTCGACTTCATAGTGGCCATTGAAAACACCAGACTGGTATAAACAAAGCTCCGATAACAGACGTATTAAAATGCGATTTCAGTACAGCCCTTTTGTCAATCTGTTGCTGGATTATGGCCTCCCCATGTCAAGCGGGTGATAGGGATTATTTGATTATATACTTCACGCTGGTGAAGGTGGGGAGCATAGATGCGAGAGCATATAAGTACAGTACATGAATGGATTTTGTTGCACTACAATCTGAAGCCCGACACGAAGCACAGGTCCGCAGCCATCTATGACAACCTGGCATGCGTGATGGGATACACATTGAAGCTCTCGTCGAGCACATTCTGCAAAATGTAATCGTATGCACATTGACATACGAGTACAGTAATATTCTAGATTTAAAGCTTTCGTGACTGCAAGGATCCATACTCTTTGGTTCTATTCGGTAAAGTCACGTAGGTAAATAATAAAACAACAATAATCACGACGTTTCGGCCACAACACAAGCGGCCTTCATCAGGTGAAGGGACGAGCCTGTCTGGAGGACAGCGCTGGAGTGGAAGAAGCCACGCTTACATCACGATATTTAAGCTGTGTGATAAGAAGAAGACCACGGGCTTTGACAAAGGAATTAGCATATAAATTAGCATTGAAATGGCTCATTGAAATAGCTAAGTTAAAGTATACACATCCGCAGAGGTGCCCCTTGACAAAGGAAATTAGCATAGAATTTAGCATTTAAATAGTTTAGTGATTAGCTAGTAACTGGTCACAGAAATAGCTATGTTAAAGTCAGAGTATATACATTCACCGAGGCACTTAGTACTCATCAAACAGGAGAATTTAGCGAAACACAACCACGCTCAGACATCGGACCTGTGTGCGAGCAAAGAGGTGGTGTACGTGCCGGTGGACTTGCAGTTTGGCGAGGGGGGGGGGGGAAAGGGGGGAGGGGGATTTTACCCATTGATGGTGTGAAAATGGGAATTTATAAGAGCTGCGAAAGTTTGGGGTACCACTACTCGAAAAATATACTGTACCATTGAAATTAGTTTAATGTTTAGTTCGATTTAGAACATCTTTCCAATGGTTGCTTAATTTGAAACCATCCTCTCGGTTGAAATTGTGTCTGTGTTTGTAGATCTGAATTGCTTCATGAACAAATCTCTGATAAAAGCCCGTGGGTTTGCAAAGAACCTTGGTATCGGAAAAAATTATATCGTGATCCCCCACAGCGTTGTAACAGTGATCAGCTACAGCAGAAGAATTCGTTTTGCCGTGTTTCAAATCTGATTTGTGCTCGCGAATTCGGTCAGAGACATGTCGCTTTGTCTCACCGATGTAGCAATAACCGCAGGTACAACTCAATTTGTAAACCCCGGGGTACTGTAAATCAGGAATGACATCCTTCACGGATGGGATCAGATCACGAATTTTGTGTACTGTATTGAACCGGACCTGGATCTTGTGTTTGTTTAGAATTTTGGAAATCTTTTTAGTAACGCCTGCTATATATGGAAGTGTGATGGTTTTGACCGGAGTATCAAGTGGTTGTTTCTGTATGGAAGGAGAGACAGCTTGGCGGATGGTACGGTCAGAGTAATACCTCGCCGAATGTGGGGATAACGATCCTGGAAAAAGGCATGTTGGGCAAACCGCTTTTGACAAATAATAGACCGTAGGGAAAAATAGGGTTGCATTCTTAGGTCCTCAAATGAAGTGACTTTTCCACTTTTTCTATCAATGCATCACGTCGAGAAACAAAATATACATTACCACTGGTGGGAGCGCTGGCAAAAACACTGGCCCTTTTCCTCCGATTTCCTAATCGTTTCCAGTCGATTCATTCATACGATAGCACATTCCAACGGGTGCAGCACTCTTACGCCTCGCAAGCCTATCTAACAACTGCAGTTTTTTCAGATTTTTCTCACGAGAATCACCACCACTTAATTTATGCTTAGGGGCCATGATTACAAATTGTCTTAAGGGCACTGGGTACGAATAATAGTCACGAGATTATCAACACAACAGCGTGGACGATGTGCACGGGATGCCGGTAACACAGCATCCCGATGTGCACGAGGAGGGAATATTGCAACGAGATATTCATCCGCAGAATCTACAAGCATACCGTGCACAACTTGTTGACGTGGAGATGAGAATCTTAGCAGCGTCAAACCGCGTGCAATCGAAACGTCACCGCCGTTTTTCCGGAAAACGTACCTCAATAAGTAAACAGTGTATAGCTGAAACACGCGTTCAATAAATCAGTGTTGGGCAAGGTATGATGATAACTAAATATTCACGGTCTCATTTGCTCTACCTTAGATATTATATATTATTGGAATCATGCCTGAGTTTCAGATAATTATTTTATGGAAGCCATGATAATAAATATGCTCAAATAATTACAACTCCAATACTTTCAAAAAATTCCAATATGCCGCACGCCACCACCCCCCCCCCAATTGGTAGGCCCTCATTTCACAGTGGATTGACAAAGAGTGTACATGCCTGGATATGTTTTTGCAGTTATCTTCTCTTACCAACTTTTTTTCCGGTTAATCAGCTCTCCTCGCGTTCATTTTATGTACCATTGCTTACTGTGCTGTACTCCCCCGACATGGCTCGCTTTAGGACAAGGACAATGACATGCTGCGGCAGCAGCTCAAGGAGAATGTGGAGAAGCCAGTGTTGATGCAGGTGTACAGCAGCAAAAACCTGAAGGTGCGCGAAGTGACGGTGACGCCCAGCGCGCTGTGGGGCGGCCAGGGCCTCCTGGGTGTCAGCATTCGCTTCTGCAGCTTTGACGGTGCCAACGAAAATGTGTGGCACATTCTGGTGAGCAAATTCCCCAGCGAATAATTTAGAACATTGGGATAAGTGTTAGAGGACCACAAGAGAACTGATTATTGTGATTAATTAGGCATTCCTCTCACGGTCGGATGGTGCAATGCATGGTGGATCATACGCAAGCATTTGCACCTTTGAGTTCGCTCAGTTGCACCTGTAATGAGAACACTCAATGCGTTTGCCGGGCGTAGTGGCGCATACATGTAATTCAGTCATTTGGAGGTAAGAGCTTATGAATCATGCAGAATTGTGCAAGGTGACCATATTGCATTATAGGAATTACATTCTTGACTACATTTGTGTGGCGCTTTTAATTATTATTTGCTTGTGCACGTGGGTTTTATTGGGTTTATCTATTTTCCTCCCATATTCTGAACACTCAAAGTGGAATTGGCCAAATATTGAAAACATCCTATTGAAACTCTGAGGTTTTCTTGAATAAGTGAGGCATTATTATTACAAAAAGCCAAGCCCTGTTCAGTAATGTTAATTACCTGTAATGCATGAAAGCGTGATAATAGCACTTGTATACAATCACTTACCTTGTATTTAATATTCACTCTTCTCTGGTGGACACATTAAGGTGTTCTGCAAATACAAACAATGATTGAGTGGTTGTCCACTCGTAACGTTAAGGAGTTGGATACCTGTTTTGATCAAGGTAACCAATGCTTACCACTGTAATTCTCTTGTTGTGCAGGAGGTGGAGCCCAACTCCCCTGCTGTCCTGGCTGGGCTGCGCCCCTTCACTGACTATATCATTGGTGCGGATGCTGTGCTAAATGAGGTATGGCAGTTAGACAACTTCTAATATTGAGCTATGTTTGTCATGTGCATATTTTATTATTGCACTGCAGACTTGTTGTCTACTGCACGCCCATAACCTGTATTTTGCGCTGTGGTCCATTCTCTGCCACAGTCTGAAGACTTGTTCTCCCTGATTGAGTCTCACGACGGGAAGCCTCTTAAGCTCTATGTGTACAACACGGACACGGACAGCTGTCGAGAGGTCATCATCACACCTAACAAGTCCTGGGGAGGGGAGGGATTGTACGTAATCGCACGTATGTAAACATACATATAAAACACACGCAAGCTCCTGTGGTATAGTGCCATAGCCAAGCTTTACGGAGCCATGGGTTGATGGATCATGCTTTATTGTGAAATGTCTGCTATGCAGCGAGGTTCCCAGGAGGTGGCGGTACAACAAATGGATTGATTAACCCACTTGTTCAGATTTTTAAAAGAGTGTTATCCTCATGTATGCGTGGATTCTTATTTGAGTACCCCACACACAAAATCATCTTTTTTGGAGTTGGACAATAACCCCAATGTAAGACTGGATAAACAAATGACAAATTGTTCGGTCTAATTCTGACAGGACCTATTATGACTTTCCATCGTCCAAAATTATCGTAACATTACAAAGTATGGTGATGTCACGTGAATTGCAAGACATGATGGAAAGACCAAACCTATAGTTACAATCTTTTATACTATTACGCTTTTATTTTTTTGTTACCATTTGGCATGCATTTACTGATAGCCGTTAGATTATGTTGAGGTCAAGCACCCATTTTGTTGTAGATTTGCATGACCAGTAATCAAAATGTGGGATGCAAGTGCAGTCTACTGCTCCTCATGTAAATTCACATTGTTAACCATACAATTATGTGTGGTCAGACGGCTCAAAGTGAAGGGACATTTTTCGTATTTCTTTCATGCAGGATTATAAAATATACCTGGTAATTGGTGCTTCTGCTTCAGGCTCGGGTGTGGCATTGGGTACGGCTACCTTCACCGGATTCCCACGCGTCCCTTCACCGAGTCCAACCCCAATGCTGCGCTTGGCTACAGTTCACAGCGACTTGAGGGCTTCACAGAGGTAAGGGGGTACCGTGATGCATCTTAAAAATCTCCTGCACTATACACATCAAACCTTAAATTTTGATTTAAAGCTTTCGTGACTGCAGGGATTCATATTCTTGGTTCTTTCGGTAAAGTCACGTAGAAGGGAAACAATAAATTAATATAAATAAAATAAAAATATAAAACAATAAAATTCTCATGACGTTTCGACTGCAACACAAGCAATCATCATCAGGTGTGAAAACCACAGTAAGAAAATTTTTAAAAAAGTGGCGTTTTTTTTTCGTCTCCCCCCCTCCTCTTTTCCGAACATAGATGGACTCGTCCATCTGAACAAACTGTCAAATCGCTCTCCGTGGTGCTAACGTAAAAAAAAACCCGCCACTTTTTTCAAATTTTATTGCTGTGGTTTTCACACCTGATGATGATTGCTTGTGTTGCAGTCGAAACGTCGTGATAATTTTATTGTTTTATATTTTTATTATTTTATTGTTTCCCTTCTACGTGACTTTACCGAAAGAACCAAGAATACATCAAACCTTGTTGATCATATAGATGTACAGCTCTTTGTTAAACTGGACCTGCTTTATTCGTCCCTGTTTAGCAACCTGGTGTCTCTCATTGAGAAGACGATTGATGAACCTCCTGGTTCAACCCAAAAAATTACAATTGGATAATTTTTTGATAAACTTTGTCCGACTCAAACAGTCCGTTGTGAAGTACAGCTGCTAACCAAGTACGATATGGAGTATTTCGCTATACAGTGATGAACAAGAACGCTTGAGCGACGCCTTCGCCGTATTCGTACTCTCACAGACTGACTAACCTGGGTCGACCAAATGAAGCAGATTCATTGGATGCTTAAAGCCAAGAAAACGTCAGTACTGGCACAACAAGATGTCTACTGCTGTAGCAACTCTTATAGTGGCTGAGGCAGACTTTCTGAGAGATGACAAACGACCGGGACAATGATTCTGGCTCTCACAATGCTGGGAAATCCAACACGGTTGCTGATGTTTAGGCTTTGACTGCCAGTGCACCGTTACATCAATTTCAATATGCAGAAGTTCAAACAATCAACTCGTGGGCTCCTCGTACAACATAACGTTAGAGAGAAGCCGATATATGCTGCTGCACACAAGTTATGCCAGTGTGACTCGGCTCCAACCTGGTTGATTTAGAAATACCAGAGTGCTTCTTCTCAAACATGTCTTTGTCTTATGGTTGCTAACAAAGCAAAAGATCAGCCACTGCTCAAGAAGATGACTCAATGCTGCTGAATTGAAGAACTATTGACCAGTATTGAATCTGCCATTTCAAAGTTGCTTAATAAAACACTGCAACTGCAGTGACAGGCACATCTCGATGCCACGAGCTCAATGCAGTCGTGTCATGAATGCCGATTACTGGCACAAGGCGATATGACCACAGACTCCTACAGCTGATGCGGGAAGTACTTCACTGGCTTTCGGTTCCACAGCGTGTGAAATATAAACTTTGCATAACGTACACAAGTGACTACACCTTGCTATTTGTTGGATGTATGGACACCTGTTTGCATTGCTGCTTGTGGTGGTGGTCTTGTTAAAAGAGCAGGACTAAAAACGTATCGTGACTGCTGCTATGTGCTCAAGCTAAGCAGTATTAAGCCTTGATAGTGCCTGGATGGGTGATCACCATACACATAAATGTTGTCATATAACTTACATGGCTATGCTATAGGCAGTCGAGGACAGTGCAGCAAAATACATAATTGTACTACTTTTATGCTTCCACGTTTATGCGACATGCCCTCACCAACCAGCACTACCCAGCGTAGTGAAATCTGGTCATATAACCCTCACAACCCATACAGGCATGGGAAGGCACTCATTCAGCAGCGGCATGACGTATTTGCTGTTCACGTACATACATTTAAAAGCATACAAGCGGTAATACGCAATCGTATCGCAAAGTCACGGGGTGGTGCAGATGCAACGTTCCTTAATTCACTCGGTCTTCATTGGGTTTACTGCCTTTCAGGTGCAGCTGTCTGCTGGTAGCTCAATGGCGAGTGCTTCGCCGGCTGCCACTGTCACTGCCGCCATGACTCCCAGCACGGGTCTGGAGCAAACATTGTCTGGACTGTCGCTCGGCAGCCCCGGAGTGGCGATTCCGCCACCTCTCAGCAGTGTCCTGACCACAGGTAGCCCTCCCTTTTGCATTCAACTCAAACGAGGGTGGGGCGGGGGGGCGAGTCGTAATGATAGCACAGGCGTTGATTAAAGTGATGGTACACTAGAGCAGTCTTTGCCGGCAACTGTCACTGGCAGTCCGTTTATTGTGAGCACCCATGGCAACCTGGCATAGATTTACAGAATTCTGTCTAGCCAGTAAAAACTGCATTTGTTACTTCTTCCAGTGTCAAGTCCATTATGTGGGCCGGTCTGTACTATTCTCAGAACTATGACAAACGATGGTTGGTCTCCAGAGGGCACATTTGTGTAGACATGTGACCTCTGTCTTTGATATTATTTGAAGTTATCATCCTAGTTGCCCACGAGGGGGAGCAGTAATGACATTTACCCAGTGGCAATTGGCAAGCATTGCCATTGACTACCATGACATTTCCCGAGTATATAATAGCCTTTAGGAGTCCAAGTTTGCCTGTTCTGTACGCACTGATATAACTTTTAGTGCTAAATGATTTGAAATGACTTCAAATGTGCATCTGATGCAAGTAATGAAATGTGTGATGTTAATTCTGACCCTGTAGGCTCTCCGACCATGCCAGTCATCCCTACCTCTTCTAATGCCTTCATGACATCTACAAGTAAATATATTAATTGTAGTTTTATGCACAATGTAGCTATATGCACAAAGACAAAGATCCCCCATATAGATTGAACAGACTGTTGGGGCAAGTGCTGTTAGCGAGCACCTATGAAGGCTGGCATGGTACATGATGGGGTGGGTGACCAACACCACGCCCGGCCGCCTTTGTCTCCCCAGTGGTGATGTTGAGACACCACACCAAGTACTAATTTGAGGCTGAGTCGACCTAGGGGAGGCCCATAACTGGTTCAGATAATCGTCACTGGTGATGGCTGTGAGCGGGAATCGAACTTGTGTCGCTGGGTTTGTAGCGCAGTGTGCTAATCACCATATATAGCCTTGTACATAAGCATACTTTAACCAATGTTAAAGTATGCTTATATTTCCATGAGTTAATAAGTGTACACAAAACATTTCAAGACACTTTTCATTCAAGTAAAACTAAGTGACATTTACTTTTAACATTAAAGTTACATCGGTTGTACAAAGTTAACATATTGGTTCGGATGTAAAGTCATGTACGCATGTGTAAGTACTCGTGTACTCTCATGTAAGTGTATAACTACCCTGTTTACTTTGCTTTGCCCATTGTACAGGTGTGGCAACCTTACCTGGAACCATGCCCAACCTAAGCTTTACCATGCCTCCACTCAACCTGCCGCCCATCGGCCCAATGTCTGGTGCTAATCCCATACCCACCACCACCACCGCCGCCGCCGTCATTCGCATTCCTTGCCGACACCGTTATGTATAACCACAACATTGATGGTATTCTAATGTATTTATCTCTCGTTTCTTTTTCAGCAGGTGGACCGTTTCCCTCGCTGCCTGACAGTTTCCTCCCCCCACAAGTGCCGCCATTGTCGCTGGCGGGAGGCCTTCCCACAACGTTTCCCTCGCTCCCTGCTGGCCTGCCCAACATATCTAACATTCCCAACCTAAGTTATCTGACCAACATGACGAACCTGCAGCTGTCCAGCACGCTTCCCAGCACTTTCCCCACCACGCTTGCTGGTGTTCCGCCCATCGGGCCAGTACCTACGGTAGCGACGTCATCAGGCCTCAATCCACCCATCGCAGCAGCAGCCAGTGGCAGCAGCTAAAACATCTCATTTGTCCAACTGTTTTGCCGACACACCCTTCATCTATAAAGTGCTTTTACGGTGCATGGAACCAAATCGGCATTAACCGATGAGACCGTTAGGTTGTGGTAGTGTTTAAGCCAATCTTTGACTGACAGATTAAAATAACGCATCACAAACAGCAGCAGACTAACATTTATGAAGGTAAGGGCTGTACAAGTCTGTTGTCTGCATAGTCATATTTGGGCACAAGTAAAACGCAACTGGCCGCGTCATTCACATGTTGGCGCATTTGCAATAATATTTCATTATGGGAGAGAGTAGCGCTTAATACGTTTTGTTTCTGTTTTATATCATGTGTGGGCTCACATCAATCCCAGAAATTCACATTATAAGAGAAAACCAACAATGTTTCAGCGGTTGTAGTATTACTGTTGTGTGCAATTGGTGCACACAGACTGACATACATACTGTGAAGGCTTTATTTTTTGGAGAGCTTTGTAGACTATTATGGTGTGTTAAACAAAGATGTATGTATGAAGACATACATATTTATGTATGTATGTTCAAGATGTATGTCTTCACACATGTTGATGTTAAATTCTTGTTTCCACGGAAGCATTTTATATGATGATTCATTGCATTCAGCACAAATGTACGGAGCTGGACAGTTGCCAAACTGGATATGAACACTTGTTATATATTCCCCACGGAGGGGCAGCATTTGCTGCTAAATAGTGTAACAAATTCCCCCACGGATAGAATCCTTTGAGCACATTGTTATACATCCATGCAGTTGCCACAATGATAACTGTACCTTGCACTTGGGAGGTGGAACATGTTTTCCCAACTTCTTAGTTCTGCCCCTTACAAAAGGTCAACTTGGAAATGTTAGATTTAAGCAGTTCAGAATCAGAGGACACTGCTTAACAAGATGCCCAAAACTGGCTTCGTATGTGCCCTCAGTAATGTATGGCAGGGATTTTTCAGTTTAAAACCCATCATAATTTAATTATCGAGTTAAGTTATTTTAGATAAACGTTGAAGTCAAAATTCCACTGGGTATTTTTGAGTAGCACTATCAAAAACGGAATTCCAAAATTACTAGACTGAATTGGTCAAAACATACAAGTTGTAAAAACGTACCACGTTCATCATTGACTGCCTGATAGCACAACAATGTATAATAAACTCACATTGTAGGAAATGTCCCTCTAGAGTAATTGAGACATTGCCATTGAAGAGGGGCCCATTGTAAAAAATAGTAGCCTATATATATTCTGTCATGAATGCTATTTTGATTAATGTGGTGAGTTTTCAATTTGTATTGCAATTGAAATATTTGGCAAATTAATAAACCCCAAAGGTGTACATCCCTCTACTTCATACAGTTGATTTCAGTATCAGTCTCTCAGCTCAGCAGCACTCGCAGACATAGCATTCAATGGATTATATTAAACATCTCAATCAATGACTTGTCAGTTTTCACCAAAGTTTTTTGTCGTTTTCAAAATTATGTAACGTACGTTAAAACACTAGATTCGTTTTAAATATAACCGGTGCACATACTGCCATCCTTCGTGGCAGCGGTTGTGACAATGTCGGCATCGTGGTTTGCTCCTCAAGGATTGAAACTTTGTCACCCGTCGGTACAGTTTGCTCACACGAGGCTCTTGCTAGACGCTCTGCCTGTTTTGTCAGATGGCGATCCAATGGCACTTTACGGATCCGCGGAACGGAATTAAAGGTGGCACTATAATAACCTCGTGGTCTTAACGTTTTGCTTTGTTCCCCGGATTTATGTTATGCTGCATTGTGAAAGTTAAATTCCACAGCAAGGGGATATATATTAATTATCACTAAATTAATTCATATATTTTGAACGTGTTTAGGCAACTGGCTGGCTTTCCCTTTGTAGCAGAATTTTACAATATTGCATAATTTTCCATTTGAAAAATAAACCAACAAAAAATGAAGTTTTATTTACCTGCTTAGATTGTAATGTCTGGATTTGCTTAGCGGCTGTAGCTTTACAACCTAAAACACTCGCACTCGACTCCCGAAAGGAGAAGCTTGAGATAAAAAACACAGAACTTACAAATATGCCTATGTAAAAATGTCTGGCTTTACACCTGCGCAAGTAGCAACGTGTACAAGTGTTTGTATCGAGTTGAGAAAACCAGAAAGGAACAGCAGTCATAATGAGGGAACGCTAGCTTAGGATTATTTCAGGAAGGAACTGAAAATTGCGTTGTGCATTGTCAACTTGATACTTTTACTGAATTGCCATTGTGCCACAGGCCAGCTTCGTTCTACGTGGAATTAGTGAACCAGTGTAACCAGTTTGTTTTAATTTGCACGGATGGCATTGTCACGTCTTAAGTCAAGTGCAAATACTTTGAAAGCAGCTTTACACCGTCAAAACAGTTTCAGCCTCCTGCTTTTAACAATATTACATTGGTGCACATGATGCAATTATTAATATCTGGCATGTAATACCTGAATAAACATGCACGTTAATCCTGGTACATGGGGAGGAAATCAACATGTAAAAGTGTTTTCGGATTACGAGTTAAATCTAAACATGGATATATTTTTTAATGCTCTTCCAGTACAGATTAATCGAGCCAGCTCCACTTATTTCAAACGTGCTGCACGGCCAAAAAGTGGTTGTTGCCATCCCTCACGGTCCTACAATGCCAACATCCATTTCCCTCTAGCACATGAGCTGATCGCATCACAACAGTTGGAGCAATGAGATCATGATTTTGCATTTGGTACTTACACGTGCAGCCAGCCTTTTTTGTAAATCCACTACTGAATTGAGGGAATTGCCCCATGCCGTGCAGGTTGCAGGGGTTATTGGACCACACTCCACGCAGATGAGCGTGCTGAAAGAGGGCCGCATACCATTTGGAGCGCTGTAGCAGAGCACATTGGCTTTTGCTGCATTGTCCTCTGTTGACAGAGTAACCCTGCAGAAAGCAGCCTACGACTACACCTGTGTCATGCTTGCAGAGATGCGTCAACCCAGGCACAATCCAGGCTCAAGCTTTGGGGTTGTGGCACGGCCGAGCAAGTGACTCGTTCGTCGCTCGTTTGCAGAGATTCACGGTTAGAGTCCGGCGACTTGCCCTGATCATCACTGTGGGTGCATCGGTAACAAAATACGTGCCGTCTGTTTCGTAGTGGACGTTAAAGACCCCCCTGGCGTAACGTGCAAGAGTAGGTCATTGTGTGCCAGTGTAAATTACTCTAGGAATATACATTGCAATCATCGCCCCCTACGCCTGAAGAATTGGCAAGTACATTTCACACAGCACCGCTTCGCATTTCAGTTAGTGACAAGAGGTCGCATGTGGTTCTCTGTGCAGTGCACTGCGTACACGTAATAACCATAATAATGTACAGCTCCGGTGTATCCACTGCTGGATGAAGAGCTCCCCACGCTCTGGCAGCCGTGTGTGTTTGCTTGGCTCCACTTCACCAGGGAGGGCTGGCCCAGGACTGGTTGGTGAAGGGCGTGCCCCGCCCCAGTTGAGATATCACTCATCATTGATGTGAGCCATGGCAAGGAATCGAACTGAGGTTGCTGGATTCAATGTTACATCAGCGATCTCGGTAAAAATTAACACATGCGATGTCATTACGCTACGAGGTGCTGCGGCGGCGCAGTGGTTTTTCTCACTGCAATGTGAAGCCACCCGAGTTCAATACCTGACCAAGGCTAACCTCATTGGCAAGTGATATGTTGAGACCAATCCGTGCTCAATCCGCTCCGACTCGTGTGGTGAAGTATGGTCATATACCCCTCTGAGCAAAAGGTGTGGATTTCTTTGGCATGTGGTCATGGCTACATCGCAAAACCTTGCAGACATTGGCGGGGAAGGGGGGGGAGTATGTACTTCGAGACAATTCAATTGGATTTTTTGAACACGTTTGCTTTCGCGACTAATATTATCCATAAAAGAGGTTTCTTGGGTTAGATCGCGTAAATATAAATGTGTCGTTAAACCCGCTACCACTCGACGAAGCCAATTGGTAAGGGTTGTGACGTAAACAAAACATTTAAACTCGTTACTAGTTCAGCACCGGATGAGGTTGGTTGTAATGCCTTGTGAAACGTCGTACTCGAATTGTGAATGTTGTGGGTTTACTCTCCAACACACCGGTGTGCTAAACTAATAACGCATTTATATGCTTTGTTTACTTGACAAACCTTATTGATTGGCTCTGTCGGGTGGTGGCCGGGTAAACGACACATTTATATTTACGCGATCTAACCCAAAAAAAGCCCTCTATTTGGCATTTTTTTGCGAGAGACAAAATAGTCGAAGGCTCACCAAACAGGATAGGAAATAATATTTAATAGACACAGCGAGAGCGTCATGGCCTTGAACAACCACAACGATTGACTCAAACTGAAATATCATGCAGAGAGTGAGTGTAATCCCATGGCATCTTTCATTTTCATTCATTATCAGCAGAATATTGCGGCCCCGCAATGCTCTGATGATAATGGCCGTGATTACTCTCTTAAGTGAGAAATCACAACTAACGTCATCAGCCAGGCGTCTGGACATCGATCAAAGATTTCCCTTCTCCAGAGCAACAACTTAACGCTGCTATGAGAGTGATCAGCGGTGCCCTGAAATCCACCTCCTCGCTTACGTGGTTTCCATTGTTGTCAAAAACTAAAAACTTAACTATATATTTTTGTATTTAACCAGGTAAGGCCCACTGATCTGCATAGCTCTTTTTCAGAACCGATCTGGCCACAAATGATAGCTCAACGAAGTGACTTATCACGCGAAAATTGTATAGTAGCCAAATACTCTAAACGCGTGTTGATTCTAAATCTGGAGGGAAAACCCGGAGGACCCCGTCGAAAAATCCACGCGGCCACGGGGAGAACATGTAAACTCCAAATATACAGGTACAGGCGTCAGGGTCGGGATCGAAACCACGACGTCCTGTATACCAGGCGAGGTAATTAACATCTCGCCGCTTTGGCGCCCTCCGTCATCGAGAGTACGGAAAGACCATAGCCGACCCTGAACTCCTATTTCACCAGGACATTGTCAAACCTCCCAAGACGACGCCGGAAGTCCAGATATCCGTTCTGGAAACATGCCTTCGGGTTGCCATTAACAAGAAGAAGAATTAACATTTGTAAGGGAAATTTCATCCGGAGATTCCACATGCGTTCGCATGAACATTGGTCAACCTCAACTGTGCCAAACAAAAACCTGGTCGATGATCCCAACCGCAGAACATCCCGGATTCCATCTCAAGCCGAGGCGCAATCACTCGTATCCGAACATTGCACGGCAGATCCGGTCAATTACTGCATTACGTGGGTGAATCAAGGACTCGCCGATCTGCGACTGTGGCGAGTTACGGCCCATGACCAACATCGCCAATGAGTGCCCAATGCACGCATTGCCTGGATAAACAATCCGCAGCGATCCATCTTGCTAGCCCTGAAGCCATCGGCCGTCGGCTATCTCAGCGCACCATATAATGGCGAGCAACCGTTGCTTTTTAATGAACCGCACACAAGAAGAAGATCCGTTTATATCAATTCTGTTGAAAGCGGTAACGAGGGCCCATTGCGGCCGAAGGTCTCTTTTTTTCAAGGGAGACATGGGTCAGCAAAGCAATGCAGTACACATGCAAAACTCGAAGTACAAACACATACATTGTCATGACTCCAATATCAAACTGTCAACAATGAACACACAATACAGTGCACATTTTTAAAAACACATTTTACATTCCAATTGTTTGGAACGCAAAGGTTTTCTCCGGATACGCGTACTCTGTTATACTCTTGCACTCAAAAATACTGAAGGATGAACTTGCCTCTCCTGAGCAAAGCCCTGCTGATAAAGAATCTTGAAACTCATTTGGAGCCTTTATTCATATGTTCGTGTCATTATTGTGTGTAGCTTCCAGCATTTCAGAACGTGCAAGCGTATTTCTCAAGCGTGGACAAAGCACGTGCAACACTGAAATGTGACATTGCAGTTCCCGCTCGCACTGGCCACTGCATTCGCGCAGTGAGCGGCATGGCCGGTTCCCACCTCACATCCATCGAGGTGAATCGGAAATTAATTAACGTACGGGGTACTTGAATTAATCATCTGTCAGGGTAAATGCTTTTTCCTACTTCTGCAGATGAGCCCTCGTTTGCTAAACCAAAGCATCTTGACGTTTTTGTTACAATTGCCCTCGATGCACTGAAGAAGTGACAAGCGTCTTGTCAAATGTGCATAAATATGAGAAGATGAATTGGCTTTCACATGCATTTTTTACGTGACCTGAAAAAGCCACAGTCATCTGGAGGCATGAAGAGGATCTCAAGAAGTTCTGAGTAGGGCCCTGAACTTCACCATTTCAACTTGACTCACTAGTTTTCCTTTGATTATTTTTTTAGACTTAGTTACACATTTTAAATTCCTGCAGGTGGATTTTTTTTTCCAACAAAGAAATCTTCGGCTTAATTGGACCCGACAATCACAGCACTTAATGATATTATTGAGATTTAAAAAAAATTAAATTAAAAGTACTTTAGTGAATATTGAAGCCCGAGAAGGTTATCCAGAGGAGCAGGAGTAATAAAGAAGAGTCTTACACAGTTTCGTAAACGCTTCCCAATCCATCTAAAGTCGTGTCATTTAAATGTGCTGCATTTCTGATCTTTACACATTTCGTCGTAAGAAGCCACCGCTTAGTGATTTTGCTTACCAAGAAAATTAG